AATAATTATTATGTGTGAATCCCTATGATAAAATTATGAACATAAATATATTTATAATTAAAATAATATTTAAGGTGGATGATTCAAATCTTAAACTGTATTACAAATTTAGTACATAGTATTTAATATTACAAATTTTTAAGAACTCAGTAAACTACAATAGTAATTGAATTACAATTTTAGAGTCACCACGGATTAAAATTTTTAGACCTTTGATATTTCTAACTCTAGATGTAGCAACATACAATTGACCTTTAAAGACCAAAATCACAATCTTAATTCGAACACTGATTTTTTCTTCCAAATACTATTGAATTAAGTGTGTAATCAATAAAAGATGAGAACTAATAATTCGAGAATATAATCTTAATGTTACTAAGCCTACTTCACGTCAATTAAGTTGGATAGTGTTGTTGGATAGTATCCGATGAATCCACGAATAACGCATCTTTGTCTCCGTAGTCCTCAATATGCACATCAACAATCTTAAATATTAGGCCGCCTAGCTATGCCATATATTAATTTCAAACTTATGAACTTTGGGGTTGCATGCAATAAAAAGTATATTTTAAATATACTAAGGGTACATTATATATGTATGTAAGGTACTTTTAATATAAAAATAATGTATTTTTAATATATTAAAAATGTATTTGATATTCATGATCCATAGACCATCGTTCACACAATAAATAAATAAATAAATAAATAAATATATATATATTATAATAATAATATTGTTAATTATAATAACAATAACAATAATAATAATAATAATTGCAATAATAATAATAAGGGGAAATGGCACTTTTTCCCCCTATGTTATATACTTATAGCACTTTTTCCCCCTCAATTATTTATGTAAGCACATTAGCCCCCTCAATTATTTTAAAAGTGGTGGTTTTCTCCCCTAATATATTAAATTGACATTTCTACCCTTAAAGTAAACATTTTATTTATTTTACTTCTCCAACAAATTATTGCGTATATGTAGCGATTACCACGGTTCGGTTCGAACTGAACCAGACACTATAGCAATCGAATTAAAAGTTTTCAGTTATGATTCAGATCTAGAACCCAATATTTGGATTTCAATTTATTAAATTTAAGAATAAAAAAAAAAACTGGATCATGAACCGACGGTTCCGGATCCCGTTCGCGATTTTGAACCGTCTTTATTTTAAAATTTTATTTTTTATTTTAAATTAGTTTAAATTCAACAATAAATGTATTTTATTTTTTCAGTTTGGAACATGAACCGCCCATTCCAGTTCGTGATTTTAATAAACTCTAAATATCGCGTTTTGATTATAAATTGTAATTGGAATATTTTGGTTTGGTTACTATAGTATCTGGTTTGAACCAAATTATAGTAATAATTTATTGGAGAATAAAAATAAATGAAATATTTATTTTAAGGGTAAATATGTCCATTTAACATTTCAGGGGGAAAAAGAGCCACTTAAATAATTGAGGGAGAAAAAGTGCTATAAGTATATAACATAGGGGGAAAAAGTGCCATTTTCCCTTTTAATAATAATTATCATTATTATTATTGCAATTATTATTATTATTGTTATTGTTATTATAATTAATAATATTATTATGGTCTTGTGAAAATTAAATTTTGATTATCACTATTTAATTTTCACAAGACCATATGGTATCATTATTATTATTGCAATTATTATTATTATTATTGTTATTGTTATTATAATTAACAATATTATTATGATCTTGTGAAAATTAAATTTTGATTATCACTATTTAATTTTCACAAGACCATATGGCTTTATTATATATAGGATATTGAGACGACTTCGCTTTCTTTCAAAGAGGTAAGAATCGATTTCGGTTTGATAGTGTTTAGTTTATTGCATGTTGGTTTGCAAATTTTGATTTGCTAATAGTTGTAGTTTTCTATAGATATTGTTAGTGTTTTAAGTCTAAATCCCAACTTGTAAATGACAAAAATTATTAGGGCAAAATTAGACAGGTTTTAGTCTAGGTGTCTATTAGTGTTTAGAGTAGAGACCTAATCGATCAGACTCTACAACAGAGCGTCTTGGATATATCCGTTGGACTTCTCAGAATGAATAATGATGCGCTGGCAGAAGCAGTTACTGTTGGAAAAATAACATTAAAATGACATTTTAAGTGACTATTTTGTGGTACAATTATCTGTGGGATCAACTTCTGAAATGGGCCAGGTAAAAGTGGATTCGGGTTCTTCATAGTGAGACGAAGAGATTGATATATTGTACGATTAAAACGGATAATGGGTGAATGAGATATTGATTCTCAAAGTAGACCCATTGAGTTGGAAAAATGAGGGGAAAAAGATGAGCTATTGTCCCACATTGGTTTGAGAAGTGGATTGCACCACTATTTATACAAGGGTCTTTTACAGGTTTATTGAATTGTATAGCATAGAGATTTTTTCTCGCATGCAGGGGACCTTTGGGGTTCGTTATATATATATATCGAATACTATTTTATATATTTTCGTGTGTATATATAATTATTATTTTGCGATATTAAATCGACTTTGGTTCATTATTTTCCAGCAATATTAAAACCTTATTTTATATGATGAACAAGTCGATGGATTCCAAAAGTGTTGTAACCGTGAATGTTGCTCGTGGTGCACATTCAAATGGTCGGAACGGCAACGATGTTGCACATTCCGTGATGCCGGTTGACGGCAGCAACGTTGAAAATGATATTTTCGTGGGAGTTGCAAAAACACACGATGGTGCTCCGGAGCTAGAACCTTGGTTTACGAATCGATAGACTAGTGGCTGGTGGCACACAATTGGTACCTATTGCGTTGCCTAGTGGATCGGCTAAAAGCCATAAAGGATCCAGTGACTACGTGATCACTACATGGTCTGAGTACTATTATAGTGTGACCAATGTCTTCAACGATAATCAAAGGAAAGGCAAACGAAAGTTTAGGCCTGAAGATGATTATGAGGAAGAAGTGAGCAGCCACTATGAAGCGAATCGTTATCCTGGTGAAAAGGTTGAGGACAACTTCGATTGTGTTAAAGAATGTGGACGGTTGGACGAGTGAGGTCACAACCAAGGTTTCTTTAACAGGTACCCCCGATGTGCGCTATGGGACCACCCTTCGTGGAGTGGACGGTTGGAAAATGGAACAAGGCACGCGGGTTTGAAGGACTACTACGAGATAGGAATAAGGAATTTGTTTTCAATGTATTTTTCTATTTATTTATTTTAAATAAATGTTGTTGTATCCTTGTGATACATTTTTATTATTGAATAAAAATGAATTGTTCCATTTGTGTGTGTTGAATTTTGTATATTTTAAAATATTCTTGTGTGATATTTTTAATATATAAAAGATTCAATAAGGATGCTTTGAGCATCACGTAGCATTATGTGGAAAAATGCTAAAATGCTTAACGGCCGGAACGAAATGTAACAAGCGTGTTACATGTTTGAAATCTCGTAAGGATTTCGGTTCTAGTTCATGTTGAACGATATAGATTTCAAAGTAGAATCAATTTGTCAAAAATTGGGATAGCTGTATAATCGCGAGCGTCGCAGCTCAAGTGTTGAATATTTTAATAATATTCTGGGTATGATTATATAAGCTTGGTTCAACTAGTTTGGAAATTTTGGTTGATTTGGTCTTGTTAATTGTGTTATAATTAACTTGATCAAAATACCAAATTGTACTAGTATGAAATTTAATTTAAGACAAATTGTGATTTGTTGAATAGTACTTTCGTAGAACTAGCGGAAAGTGCAATTTAATTTGGCACTTTGAAGTGCAAATTAAAGCACTGTAACAGTGCTATTAAGCACTAGGTAAAGTGCTTAATTAGGCACTAGCGGCCACTTGGTGGCAGCACCTTTAGGTGTTGAAAAATTAAGCATTTGATGCTTTGATAATAGCAATAAAGGTGCTAGATTATGATTGGTCTTAATGCTAATTTATTTAGCTTAAACCTTTAGCGTGGTGCTAATTCTTAGCAGTTATCACTTGCAAAGTGGTTGTTGGTGATTAAGCTTGCGAATGAAAGCTTAATTACTTGGAATTGGGTATGACACAATTTGGTGTGCATCGATCCGGTCTCAATTTAGAAATTTCGTAAGTGTTGATTTGTTCGCACCTAAGAGATGTGTTAATTTGTAGCACATGTTTATTCTTTATAAGAATAAAAGAGATAACCAAATTAATCATGGATTAATGCGGTTACGGGCGATCGATGTGGTGAACATGAAACACCCACTACACCAAATCAGGCATTTAGCGGCGGTTATAAACCGCCACTAGTATGTTTAGCGGTGGTTATACAACCGTGTCTAAATAGTGTGTCGCGAAGCATTTAGCGGCGATTTTCTACAACCGCGGGAATTCATGGGAAAATTATTTAGCGGCGGTTTTGAATGCATTTAGCGGCGGTTGCGTAACCGCCGCTAAATAAATCTATTTATTTCGTTTGCTTTTAGCGGCGGTTTAAATAAATCTATTTATTTTGGTTTGCTTTTAGCGGCGGTTTTGTAACTGTCGCTAAATAAATCTATTTATTTGTATCCTTAAATTTTAGTGGCAGTTATTAAGTGTTGCTAAATGTTTTATAATTACATTATTATATTTTTATAATAATCATTTAATTATATTTCTTCAAAAATATTTATATTCAAATGCGTATAATCACAAATAAACTCTATATACACATTTAATTGAAAAGAAAATCAATTGTAACTAATATTTGTCAAATAATAACATTCAATAGTATAGTATTCAAAGAAGTTGCTTCATCAGCTTAGACAATTCAAAACACAATTCTTCAAATACACGAAGATGAGCAGATGCAGGAAGCATGGCATAGAGGTACTGTTGTTCGCTCTCTCTAGGTCTTGAACATTGGTGGTTCTTAAAGCTGAACACATATAGGAGCAACAGTGACATAATCAACTTCTATTCCAGTAGTCTTTTTCCCAGAAGGAACTTTCAATGAAGCAAGGTTTCCATCTTCTCCCAAGGGAACTGCATGCAAATTCACCATCAAAGGAATGAAAAATTCTTCCCCCAAGACATAAAAGTCCTCAACCTGCAATGTTTAGATGTTAGACACTACACAATGAACATCTCAAACATCCCCCATTCCATTAGGGAGGATTCATAATTGATTGAATAAAGAACAAAGATAATGGGTAATCATTTTTGCCAGCAACATTGATGAAAGCAAAACCAACTCCACCATCAATAAAGATGCTTTTAACCAAAGATAACAAAGTTTCCAATGAAACGCTTGTGCTAGATGACCTTAATGTATCTTCTAGAACCCTAAGCCTTAATTGATATTTTTCCTAGGGAAAATAGTAAAGTGCAATTTAAACTAGGACATAAATAGGAAATTGAGTTAAAACTCAGATATTAAATTGGGTGAAGCAATACTTTCAACTGGGCTTCTGATTTTGCAGTTCATTCAGAAATTGCTAGCTTATCTCATAATTGTTGCATCTCCCCCTGTGGCATTAGAAGATGTGGCCACCACAACCCAGTTAAACATAACAATCAAAATGCATTAAATTCATTAATCAAGATAGAATCACAATTAGAACATCAAGCCAATCAAGGGCTGTGATCGACAACTAATATACCTGCAAAAACCTTATCTCTTCAAGCCACTGTTTTACAGGCATTACTTTGTCATTAGAATCTTTCCACTCATTAGCAACCACTGTGGCCACCCTATTTGCAGTAACCTTCGCATGTGCCAGTTCCCGGTCAAGAGTTTTTCTCTCTTCCTGGGAACAGATTAAACAGAACATATTTTAAGATACATGGTACTCTTGACTTATCAGGCATGATGTATAATGGAATTATTTTTTGCACAGTACATTCATCTCTTGAACTTTGCGTTGGTAATCCCGAACAGCATGTTGGAAAAATTAGCTTAAAATGGCATAAAATGACATATTAAGTGGCTATTTTGTGGTACAATTATCAGTGGGGTCCACTTCCGGTTTGGGTCGGGTCAAAGTGGATTCGGGTTCTTCGTAGTGAGACGAAGAGATTGATATATTGTACGCTCAAAACGGATAATGGGAATGTCGGCTAAGTTATGCCAAACTCCGGTATCATTTTCCATTTGATATAGTCACTTGGTTCGGCCGAAACCGAACCGAGAGGACCTACTCTCGTGCTACAAAGAGCACGAGAGGAAAGGTTGTGGTGCACGAAAGCACAACTCTCGTGCGAGAGTGCACCACAGCACGCACGAGAGTACATCTGTTACGGAATTAATACTGTTTTAATTCCAATTTTAAATTCTGAGTTTAATCCTACTTAGTGGGTGGCTGTTACAGGTGTTACACAATTGGTTTTAATACCAATTTAATGGCCATGTTGAATGCTAGCACTCCAACATCCCTATATAAAGAGAGGTAGAGCAGTAGCATTTTACACAGTACACGAAACTAAGGAATTCCAGTACAGTTTTACTTCAAAACTTCTGCTTCTACTCTTTTCTTTTAGCCAACCAGTGTTCTTGCTGTGCTTTGTTTGCCGGGTTCTTTGTTTAGGTGCTTAAACAAAGAATCGTAGCACGTTTTATCTTGGGAAACCTAGGCTACAACGCTCCTAGCACTTGTGGGAGGTAGCAAATAAGGTTTTAAGGAAAAGAACTTTGTGTTCGAACTCGTGCTAAACCTAAGCCAAATTTCTTCATCTTTTCTTCCCTTCTTTCCAGAAAATAATAGTCAATTTTATTTGATTATTATTTGTTTTCCTACCAACGGTTCCTATAGTCTTAAAACCTTTTTTCTTGTTTTCCCATTGGTTGTTTTCTCGAATTTCTTTGAAGAAATGTAGAACCCGGAGTTGCCAATCGTTAACAATGGGGAAGAAAATATTGTTGAGAACAACAATGGAGGAAATGGCAACAATGTTGCTAATTCCCATGCTACACCAGTGAACGTTGGTTCACAGGATGGTGGGAGCACTGAGGGATATATTCGCATGTCTCGGGTACCTTCGGTATCGAGTGGTTCGGCTGAAAAGCCAGAGAAGTTCACTGGTGTTGGTTCGAACTTCAAGATGCGGCAACAGAAGATGTTGTTCTTCCTAGCAACTCTCGGCTTGGCAAGGTTCTTGTCCGAGAGTGTTCCTGCGTTGAAGGAACAAGATGCACAATCCGTGATGGTAGTTGGCTATTGGAAGGATTCGGACTTCCTTTGCCGAAACTACATCCTGAATGGATTGTGTGACACGCTATATGATGTATATCGAAAGATAAGCACATCAAAAGCGTTGTGGGAAGCTTTGGATCATAAATACCGAAGTGAGGATACCGGGTCAAAGAAATTTGTGGTTGGCCGATTCCTCGACTTCAAAATGGTTGATTCAAAAACTGTGCTAAGTCAGGTAGAAGATTTGCAGTTAATCTTTGATGAGATCCGTGACGAGGGCATGGTGCTAAGTGAAGCCTTCCAAGTGGGATCTGTGATCCATTTGTTGCCTCCAGGTTGGAAAGACTTCAAGAACTACCTTAAGCATAAGCGAAAGGAGATGAATCTGGAGGACCTGATCCAGCGACACAAGATTGAGGAAGGGAACAGGACGAATGATAGGAAACTTCCTATCGTTGTTGGCGCTAAGGCCAACGTTGTGGAGCACGGTAAGAACTCCAAGAGGAACCAGAAGGACAAGCGAAAGTTAGGTCAGAAAGGTGGCGTTACCAAGAACAAGTTTCCTGGTGAATGCTACAATTGTGGCAAGCATGGCCACAGAGCATCTGAATGCAAGGCTCCAGGGAAGAAGAACAAGAGTTCTGAAGCCAACGTTGTTGGAGATAGCAATCAGAAGGAGGTCGAGATTAGCCTTTCGGCTATGGTGACCGAGGTGAACCTCGTGGGCTCAAACCCTCGTGAATGGTTCATTGATACCGGTGCAACCAGGCACTTGTGTTGCAACCGAGAGATGTTCAACACCTTTGAGACCGTTGAGGGTGAAAAGGTGTGGATGGGAAACTCTGCTCAGTCTGCTGTGGAAGGCATGGGTAAGGTGGTTCTGAAGATGACTTCCGGGAAGGAACTGACGTTGAACAACGTGCTGTATGTTCCTGAGCTGAGGAAGAATCTTGTGCCTGGCTCTCTGTTGAACAAGCATGGCTTTCGCATGGTGTTCGAGTCAGACAAAGTAGTTTTGTCCAAGTTAGGGATGTTTGTTGGTAAAGGATATGTAACTGATGGGCTGTTTAAGCTCAATGTAATTCCTGTTATCAATAAAAGCAAAGTTAATTCTGTTTACTTGCTTGAGTCTTCCAATTTGTGGCATGGTAGACTAGGTCATGTTAATTTTAATTCTATGCGTAGATTAATTAGCATGGACCATATTCCTAACTTTCAAATTAACACAAATAACAAGTGTGAAATTTGTGTTGAGGCAAAACTAACGAAAGTACCTTTCAAATCGGTTGAAAGGGAAACTGAACCACGAGAATTAATCCATAGTGATTTGTGCGATTTTAGATCGATACAAACGAGAGGTGGTAATAAGTATTTTATCACATTTATCGACGATAGCACACGATACTGCTATGTGTATTTGCTTAAAAGCAAAGATGAAGCCGTTGATAAATTCATTCTTTATAAGAATGAAGTGGAAAATCAACTTAATCGGAGAATTAAGAAGGTTAGAAGCGATCGAGGTGGTGAGTACGAAGCACCGATTGGTGACTTCTGTGCAAGTGTAGGTATCATACACGAGCGTACGACACCTTACTCACCTCAATCGAACGGTGTTACCGAACGAAAGAATCGTACATTGAAAGATATGATGAATGCGATGCTTATAAGTTCGGGCCTACCTCAAGATGTGTGGGGTGAGGCTATTTTGACAAGTAATTACCTTTTAAATAAGGTACCCCACAAGAAGCTTGATAAGACTCCTTATGAGCTGTGGAACGGTAGGAAACCTTCCTACCAGTACCTAAAAGTGTGGGGGTGTCTTGCCAAAGTTTTGGTGCCAACACCTAAGAAAGTAAAGATAGGTCCTAAGACGGTGGACTGTATCTTTATTGGCTATGCACATAATAGTAGTGCTTATCGGTTCTTAGTACACGAGTCCCATAATCCGGACGTACACGAGAACACGATAATAGAATCAAGGAATGCATCTTTCTTTGAAAATGTATTTCCTTGTAGGTCTAGCGAGGGACCGAGTACGTCAAAATGAACGTTTGACGAAGCTATGGATAATGATAGTGGGGAATCCGAGAGAGAACCCGAGCTCGAGCCGAGACGCAGTAAGCAGGCGAGAGTTGGAAAATCATTTGGTCCTGATTTTCTAACTTACTTGTTGGAGTACAATTCGAGTACTCTAACTTGTTTATTAGAAAATGAACCCGATTTTCTATCTTGTTTGATAGAAAACGAGCATCGAACGTATGTAGAAGCCGTGACTTCTACAAAAGGACCAATGTGGAAAGAGGCTATTAAAAGTGAAGTGGATTCTATCTTACAGAATCACACTTGGGAACTTGTTGATCTACCTCCGGGTAGTAAACCCTTAGGATCCAAGTGAGTCTTTAAAAGGAAGATGAAACCTGATGGTTCCATCGAGAAGTATAAGGCTAGGCTTGTAATCAAGGGTTATAGGCAACACGAGGGCCTTGATTACTTCAACACATATTCTCCTGTGACGAGAATAAACTCCATTCGGATGATACTTGCCATAGCCGTATTGCAGAATTTGGAAGTTCATGAAATGGACGTTAAAACCGCTTTCCTAAATGGCAAATTAGATGAGGAAATCTATATGGAACAACCCGAAGGGTTCATGGTTCCGGGCCAAGAAAGGAAAGTGTGTAAGTTGGTTAAATCACTATATGGTTTAAAACAAGCGCCTAAGCAATGGCATGAGAAGTTTGACCATGCGATGTTGACTAATGGGTTCAAAATAAACGAAAGTGACAAATGTGTCTACGTTAAAGAAACGATAGACGGTTATGTCATTCTTTGTTTATACGTAGATGACATGCTCATCGTTGGTAGTAACGATCGAATGATCAAGTCTACCAAAAACATGTTAAATGCGAGATTTGACATGAAGGATATGGGTTTGGCTGATTTAATCCTCGGGATTAGAATCATTAGAAGACCTGATGGTCTGGTGTTAAGCCAATCACATTATATTGATAAAATCCTTGAAAAATTTAACAAGGATAATCATCAAGGGACTAGGACGCCATTAGATCGAAGCGTTCATCTAACCAAGAACCACGGGGAGTACGTGTATTTCTCAAGTAGAATATGCTCAGGTTATTGGTAGTTTGATATATCTAATGAGCTGTACTAGGCCGGATATTGCCTTTGTGGTTAGTAAACTCAGTAGATATACGAGTAACCCCGGTGCCATGCACTTGACGGCAATAGTGAAGGTTCTGAGATACTTAAGGTATACTCGAGACCTTGGACTGCACTATGGGAGATATCCTGCTGTACTTGAAGGGTATAGCGACGCTAGCTGGATATATGATATTAAGGGCTCTAAGTCCACGAGTGGCTACGTGTTTAAACTAGCCGGTGCAGCCGTTGCATGGAAATCCTCTAAACAAACTGTGATAGCTAGATCCACGATGGAATCTGAGCTGATAGCCTTGGACAAATGTTGTGAAGAGGCTGAATGGCTACGCCATTTTTTAGAGGATATTCCTAATTGGGAAAGATCTGTACCTCCAATGTGTGTGCATTGTGATAGTCAAGCTGCAATTGGACAACTACAGAATCATATGTATAATGGTAAGTCTAGACATGTGTATCGTAGACATAATACCATTAGAGAACTTCTCACAACTGGTGTTGTCTCGATTGACTACGTAAAGTCAATAGACAATATAGCGGATCCGCTAACCAAAGGGTTATGTAGAGTAGCTATGGAGAAGTTGAGACGAGGAATGGGTCTAAAGCCCTTGGTATAAAGTTCTATAGTGGACACCCAACCTAACTGGCACCTAGGTTCAATGGGATAACTAAATTATGGAACGGAGCGTGTCACTGTGGGGGTCTCGGATTCCCTACCACTCCTCGTTAGAGACAGTGGCTCCCGCACAAGGTTAGCATGTTAAATGCTTTAGTGATTCGAATGTCGGTTGACATATGTGAGTATGCGGGAAACTCGGGAAAGAATCACCTATGTGAGAGAGAAGTGAGGGTCGCTTCAAAGGAGAATTGACGGGCACAATTCTTCACAAACTCTTGCAGAACCAGGAATGGTGACCCACGACCAAAATGGGCACAATCATGAGAACAAAACATGGTTGGGAGGTTGCTGTGTGAGATACGTCATCGTCTACACAAACGGCAGTCGGTTCAAAGACATCGCGTTCTACCGTACAGTCAGTAGAGTAAATGTATCTTCACGAGGGAAGGTTCAAAGGGTGTGACCCTACCTATCCTATGCAGGGATCGACCGTTGAACATAGTTGTTTCCATTTTTAAAACTACCCCGAAAATCAATTTTCATTTATGTGAGGGATTGTTGGAAAAATTAGCTTAAAATGGCATATTAAGTGGCTATTTTGTGGTACAATTATCAGTGGGGTCCACTTCCGATTTGGGTCGGGTCAAATTGGATTCGGGTTCTTCGTAGTGAGACGAAGAGATTGATATATTGTACGCTCAAAACGGATAATGGGCGAATGAGATATTGATTCTCAAAGTAGACCCATTTGAGTTGGGAAATGAAGGGAAAATAGTGGACTTTGTAGAATTGTATAGCATAGAGGCTCTCTCGCGGGGGGTGGGGGGGGGTGTAAATCAAAATCCAACTAGAGGAGATCGAAAAGGCTTGATTCAAGCCCGAGCTCGCGCCTGCGGGCACGAATGTCTTCTGGAAATTGGCTGGCCTTGCGGGCTAAGTTATGCCAAACTTCGGTATCATTTTCCATCTGATATAGTCACTTGGTTCGACCGAAACCGACAACTCTCGTGTTACTGGTCCTTATGCTCTCGTGTGCACCTGCACCCCAACGGTCTGAAACCCGAAAGTTCAGCCTGTTGTACAGATTAAACTCATCTGTTACTGAATTAATACTGTTTTAATTCCAATTTTAAATTCTCAGTTTAATCCTACTTAGTGGGTGGTTGTTACAGGTGTTACACAATTGGTTTTAATACCAATTTAATGGCCATGTTGAATGCTAGCACTCCAACATCCCTATATAAAGAGAGGTAGAGCAGTAGCATTTTACACAGTACACGAAACTAAGGAATTCCAGTACAGTTTTACTTCAAAACTTCTGCTTCTATTCTCTTCTTTTAGCCAACCAGTGTTCTTGCTGTGCTTTGTTTGCCGGGTTCTTTGTTTAGGTGCTTAAACAAAGAATCGTAGCAAGTTTTATCCTGGGAAACCTATGCTACAACGCTCCTAGCACTTGTGGGAGGTAGCAAATAAGATTTTAAGGAAAAGAACTTTGTGTTCGAACTCGTGCTAAACCTAAGCCAAATTTCTTCATCTTTTCTTCCCTTCTTTCCAGAAAATAATAGTCAATTTTATTTGATTATTATTTGTTTTCCTACCAACGGTTCCTACAGTGATCAAATAAAATTGACTATTATTTGTTTTCTTACCAACGGTTCCTACACAACATTAGCTGCTGCACCACCAGCAAGAACAGCCTCATCAAGCTCACGCACAGTTTGGGTAAGCTTTTCAACTTCTGCAACCTTTTGGCGATGCATTTTATCCAATATTTTGTTCTCTTCCTGAAGTATTTTGGGATTAAATTACAAATTTAAAAACTAGACCAGAAAAAAAAAACACTAATAGAGAAAGCAAACCAACACAGAAAAATACTTTGAGAGATTAATGTTATGTTTAAACTGACTGTCATGATGCCATCACCAGACTTTGTATAAAGAAGTCTGGCAACCTTAATAGAATCATTTCAGCATTGAGTCAGTTGTGAAACCTTCGAGAATTAAATAATTAATGCTTGCACCTTATTATTTAAAGCAATAATTATTGGTTAGTAGGAAAGATGAACCACAAGAAAATTGACAGAGAAAATAGGTCAAAACCTTTGCATCAGAGCATTCTGGCATGGAAACCGTTAGGCATTGAGTTTGATGTACAATTTCAGTTAACTGCCAAGGTTTGATACCTGAAAATTTTCAACAAAACTCATTAACATAGCAAGAAAGTGCACAGATAAATAAAGGGTTAGTGAGTCTTTAACAGGTACTAACGAATAGTTTATCCAGATAAAATTATCATATCACCATTGTTGACACAAATCCAACTTTATAATAATGTAATCAATGTTAATTAGTTATTAAAATATGTTATAAAGTTTATTTACTTTAACTAATAATTATTAAAATATGTTATTAAGTTTATCTTGAATAGATTTTTTAAAGTTAAAAAAAAATGTTCAATTTTTTTGAGAATAGCTGAAATTTAAGACTAAATACATTAATCTCTCAACCACCTGAAAATGGTTTCAAACAAATATTTCAATAAGAGCACAAATTATGCCTTAGGTCACACAGAAAAATAAATAAATAAATAAATAACCACCAAGAGCAGAATAAATGATTATATAATCATAGGCCAGCAGAGCATCATAATGAAAAAAAATTGGGTAGATGAAAATACAATCAACTAAAAACAATTGGAAAGGACCTTCTCATAAATGCAAAATGTTCTTGAAGAAGCTATCTGCTCTACATAGACGCAATCATCTGATAATGAACAAGAAAACCATTGACACCCAATTGCAGGAGCCTGCAAGAGTGCAAGACATGAATCATTATAAGGCAGAATAGATCCACAATTAGCACTTTCCAAGTTCCATATAAACATGTTAGTCATCACTACAAGCAGCAGCAAGTTAAATCCTCTAATCGAAAAACATACTATAAATTCATTTGTCAATACTCAGCTAAATAAATATACAAAATAGGACCAAGACAAGGACCACAGGGACACTTATAGACTCTGAACCTGAAGTTCAAAAGACAAACTGGATGATTTCTTAACAATAATATATGCAATGCCGCAATGGTTGATCACTATATATCATATTTGTGCATAATTTTACCTGAGGAAAGTTAATTCCATAGCTGCTCCTGAGCTTTGAAGAAGGAAATGCAGCAACAAAAGTGTCATTTTTCCACACATGAAAAGGTTCATTAACATAAGGTGCCAACTTATCACAGCTTTTGCCACCAGAATCAGCAGTAACCTTCAACCCAACTTCTTCTATTGCATTTACCCATTCCCTTGCTAACCCATCAAAAATAGGAACCTGTCTAAGTTAGTTTCAAAATGTTAATGTATTGGTACTAAACTGAAGCAAGTTCCACATAGGCGAGCATAATTACCGAAAAACTGACGAAACTAATAACCAATAGTCAAAATATTTAGTGACGAAACAAGTTTACACAAAATGCAGTCAAAGTTCAACTTGGAATCGATGGTGAAAAATATCAAGTTATCAACCTAGCAGAAGATTTTTCAAAATAGGCTACAAATAGCAGATTCGAAGGCTAACTCAATTGCAAAATGAATCATATCATAACCTAGTAGAAGATTTTGCAGAAACTGCTCTTCCCAACTTCGGCTGCGACGAACAAGAAATCGAACTCCGGCGGCGACGAACAAGAATTCGAACTCCGGCGGCGACGAACACGTAATCGAACTCCGTCGGCTACGAACAAAAGAATTGAATGAACGATTCAGTGATTGTTGCTTCCTCGTGTTTTAGAAATCACTGGGGATTGTGGAAGAATTGGGAAAAATTGAAATTTGAGAGAAAAGACTGAATAATGGGAGACGGGTTTTTGGCGACTATTCTTTTGGAGAGAAACGATCGGTTGAACTGTTGAAGAGTGCTGTGGAAAACAGGAAGGGTTAATTTTTAAACACTTATAAATTTTAATTTGAGTTTTAGCGGCGGTCATATAACCGCCGCTAAAATACATATTAAATTAATGTATAACGCCTTTCGTACGATTATTTTTTTAAGTTCTAGTATAAGATTTAGAGGCGGTTTTATAACTGTTGCGAAATATTCATTTAGCGGCGGTTATATATAACCGCCGTTAAATATATGTCGCTAAAAAAGCTGTCTGTTGTAGTGACCTATTGGTGATTTCTGCGCAAGCGTATCGTACTCGAGCGTACGACACCGTGTTTACCTCAGTCGAACGTTGTTGCCGAACATCAATATCAAGACGTTGATAAGTTCGGGTCTACCTCAAAGTATGTGGAGTGAGACAATACTTTGGACAAGTAAGTACCTTTTAAATAAGGTTACCCGCATGAAATTCTTACGAATTATGGGTACGTAGGAAGTTTTCCTACTAATACCTGAAATGTGGGGGTGTCTTGCCAAAGGCGTTTATTCGTTCTTAGTACATGAGTCTTACAGTTTGGATGTACATAAGAACACGATAAATTGAATTAAGAAATTCATCGCTCTTTGAGAATGTATTTCTGCGAAGGTTCAATGAAGGGACCTAGCACGTTGAAATGAACTTTTGACGTAGCTATGGTTAGGGGGTATGAAAGAGAACCCGAGGTCAAAGCTAGACGTAGCAAAAGAACTAGGATTGAAAAACCCCGTGGTCCATATTTTCTGACGTACATGCTAGAATGTGACGCGCATATTCTAACTTGTTTACAAGAAAATAAACCAAATTTTTCTGACGAGATTGTTAGAAAATGAGCCTTGAAAACGTATGTAGAAGTTGTGACTTCTACGGATGGACCAATATAAAAGAGGCTACGGGAAAGTGAAGTGGATTCTATCTTACAGAATCATACTTGGAACTGGTTGTTCTTCCTCCAGGTTGTAAAACCTTTGGATCCTTGTGGATCACGTGTCGGAAGATAAAAACTGGTTGGTTATATTGAAGTAAATGGTCGGTCTTGTAATTGAAGATTACATGCAACGTGAGTGCCTCGGTTACTTCGATATGTATTCTCTTGTGATGAGAATGAAATCCATTAGTATGATACTTGCCACAGCCGTTTAGCGAGATTTGGAAGTTCATCGAAATGGATGTATCACTTTCTTAATAGACATGGAACAACCTGAGGGTTTTGTGGTTCCGCGCTATGGAAAGAAAGTGTGTAATTGGTGAGATCATTGTATGGTTCAAAACACTTGCCTTAGTATTTGGCATGAGAGGTTTGTCATACAATGATGACAAACGAGTTTAGTATAAATAAAACTGACAAGTGGGTCTACGTATTGCGTACGATAGACAGTGATATCACTGTTTGTTTATACACGATAAACTCATCGTGGGTAGTAACGATCAAATGATCAATTCTACCAGGAACATGTTAAATTTGAGATTTGACATGAGAGGTGTGAGTTTGGCAGATTTAATCTTCGAGATTAAAATCGTGAGAAAACCGCATGGTCTCGTGTTAAGCCAATCTCATCGTGTTGATTGAATCCTTGCAAAGGATGTTAATCAAGTGGCTTGGACACCGTTAGATACTAACGTACAACTAGCCAATAATCACAGAGATTGTACTTCTCACGGAGAATACATTCAGATTATTGGTAGTTTAATTATACCTAATGGGTTGTACTAAGTCGGATATTGCCTTTGCGGTTAACGAACTCGGTAGACATACGAGTAACCCTAGTGATAAGCACTAGACGGCAACAGTGAAAGTTATGAGATACTTAAGTTATACTCATGACTTTGGACTACACTACGTGAGATATCTAGCTGTATTTGGAAAGTATAGCACGTTAAAAGGATATCAAAGGACGCTAAGTCCATTAAAGACTACGTGTTAACGTAGGCCAGTGCAGTTGGTTTTATGGAAATTCTCAAAACGATTTGTGATAGCTAAGATCCATGATGGAATCTAAGCTGAGAGCCTTAGACTCGTGTCGTGAGCGAGTAGGCCGAATGGCCATGCCATTTTTCGGGAATGTTCATAGAGGTAAACTCGTACCTCCAATTTGTGTGCGTTGCGATAGTCAAGTCAAAATTAGTTAAGTACAGAGTTAGATGTGTAATGGTAAGTCTAGACTTATAAGTCGTAGACATAATACTATTAAACAATTTCTCACAACTGGGGTTATCTCTATTGACTACTGATGTCAAAAGATAATGTAGCGACTGCTAACTCGCTAACCTGAGGGTAAGCAAATGGTTGTTGAGAAGTTGGAACGAGGAATGGGTCTAAAGCCCTTGGACTAAAAGTTCTATAGTGGATACCCAACCTAGCTGGCACCTAGGTTCAATGGGACAACTAAATTATGGAACAGAGCGTGTCACTGTGGGGGTCTCCGACTCCCTACCACTCCTCGTTAGAAACATTGACTCCCGCACGAGGCTAGCACGTTGATGCTTTAATGATTTGAATGTCGGTTGACATGTGTGAGTATGCGGGATACTCGAGAAAGAATCATCTATGTAAGAGAGAAGTGAGGGTCGCTTCAAAGGAGAATTGATGGGCACAATTCTTTAGAAACTCTCGCAGAATCAGGAACGGTGACCCACGACCAAAACAGGCACACTCATGAGAACAAAGCATGGTTGGGAGGTTCCTGTGTGAGATATGTCATCGTCTACACAAACGGCAGTCGGTTCAAAAACATCGCATACCGTACAACCTGTAGAGTAAACATATCTTCACAAGGGAAGGTTCAAAGGGTAACACCTACCTATCCTATGCAGGGATCGACCGTTGAACACAGTTGTTTCCGATTTCAAAATACCCTGAAAATCAATTTTCATTCATGTTGGGGATTGTTGGAAAAATAACATTAAAATGACATTTAAGTGGCTATTTTGTGATACAATTATCAGTGGGGTCCACTTCCGAAATGGGTCGGGTAAAAGTGGATTCGGGTTCTTCTTAGTGAGACGAAGAGATTGATATATTGTACGCTCAAAATGGATAATGGGTGAATGAGATATTGATTCTCAAAGTAGACCCATTGAGTTGGAAAAATGAGGGGAAAAAGATGAGCTCTTGTCCCACATTGGTTTGAGAAGTGGATTTGCACCACTATTTATACAAAGGTCTTTTATAAGCTTATTAAATTGTATAGCATAGAGGCTCTCTCTTGTGCGCGGGGGTGCAAATCAAATCCCAAATTGAGATAAAAAAGGCTTGATTCAACACAACGCCACTTGCCTACACTACATGCACGAGTTGAAACAGGGTGAACCATTTTAATAATGTCCTCGCAAGTGCACGAGTGCTGAAACAGAGCGAACCATTTTAATAAACAGAGCGAACCATTTTAATAATTTCGTCGCAAGTGCACGAATCACTGTAGTAATAGGGTGCAAAAGCAAGAGGTCGAACTCACAGGGAATTGATACAATGCAATTTAACCGAATCACTGTAGTAATAGGGTGCAAAAGCAAGAGGTCGAACCCACATGGAATTGATACAATGCAATTTAAAGACTGAAAATTTAAAGTAGTAAAATCAAATGTCAAAGATAAAAGATCAATTCAAATGCACAATAATTAAATTAAAATCTAAGAAATTAATTAAATGAATCACGAGGAACGAGATGATGATCAAATAACAACAGAATACAAAAGCCTAAGTTCATGAATCAATTACTATTACTAGAAAAGCAATTTAACAAGCCATTACAGTGAAGGAATTGTAATAAACATGTAATTAGCACTAAGTAATTAGCACAATAACTATGCGAGTAGCAACACAATTCTAAACTTATTAGAATTCAAAGGATTACAAATTCCTTAAGTGAAACAGTAATTATGAGTTTCATTGCAAACTTAACAGAATTGAAGTTAAAAGGAATTGGATTACAAACTCATACTAACAATACGGAGAAACAAATTGAGAAAGGAAAAAGAACCAGAGGCTTGCTGCCGACACGGACGTTGCTGCTGCTAACGAAGATTGTTGCTGCGTCGATCGAAGTCGCCGAATTACATGCCAGAAACAAACTGTGGTGCACCAACGGAAATTCAAAGCTGCTGGAAATTAATTCTTCGCCTCCGGAATTGGTTTGGGGCCAACTGATGATGCATTCCTCCTCGAATCGCCCTCTTTTATATTGTTATTTACCAACCACTTCTCCTAAACCAGCCACGATTTCTCCGATTTTAGATTTTCGTTGAAGAACGGGAACCAGGGAATGCCGATCAGAAATTCTTCATCCAGGCCTTCCGCTGACCGAATATGTTGAATAATACCGTCCGCAAATCTGATTCTCGATCCCCTTATTTCTCAATGATAATAATAATAATAATAATAATAATAATAATAATAATAATAATAATAATAATAATAATAATAATAATAATAATAACTTATTAGAGGCCATATATAACTAATCTACATTTATTAAACTCCTGCTGAACATGTACTACTAAAATTATTAATATTATCATTAAATTAGGATCAAGGAATTATTGGACTAACAGAATTCAAATAATAAAATAAATTTAATAAAAACAACCTTAAAAAAAGAATAGTATTAACAAAGCTATTTAATCAAAATAATAAATAAAACTATATATAAATTAATTAATTATTAAAAATTAACTATACAAATATTATTTAAAATAACAATAAAAATACTGTTTATCAAACTTCCCCACACATATTATTTGCTTGTCCTCAAGCAAAAACATTATTAACAAGAAA